TTTTTCTTTCTGTATCAGGTTTATTTCACTTAGCACAGTGTCTTCCAGGGCTGTCTGTGTTGTGGCAATGGCAAATCTCCTTTTTAAGGCTGAATACTCTTCTGCCTTATATGTTTTTTCTCAACTTCTCAGTGGATACTTTGTTTCTGTATCACCCTATTGTGGGTGTGCTGCAGTGAACCTACCAAACATTTTAATCAGACATCAGAAGTCTTCAGTGTCTGTACACCTTAGATATTCCAGTGGGGTTTAATGCCTGCCTATAGCAAAGCCACGTTGGGAAGACTGGCTGTCTGACCCTGGTGTCCTTGCTGTGCCCTTGGTATTTAGAAGCCATTCTTCATGAACACCGAGGGAATTAGTGTTGAGAAGGTTGAGCCTCAGGGGCCACTGTTCTCACCTTGCTTGCAGAGTCTATACATTTTGATGAAGTTGTTTCATCTGTGTTTCCAAACACCAGAATTTTGCTGCTTTAATTCTGATTATCTCGACTGGAAAATGCTGTTACATTAGAACTCTGGGTGTTCTGTTTATTAAATGTCCCCACACTGTTGTGTCAGGCACACAGGTTAGATCAGCCATGCCCTGAATGGGCTGTGGAGGAAGGGAATACTTTTTCGTTGTGATCTTCAGGGGTGCTGGTTTTGCCTTTTCTGGGCTGTCAGCAATGCCCTGCTGCTCTAGTTCTGGTTCCTGCTGTGCACTGTCATCAGCCCATGTAGAATGTCTGAAGACTGTGCCTTTTCTGGTGGCTCTAGTCTGTACATTATTGTGGGAATGTGTTCATTCCTTCTGTTCCTACAGTTGCTAAGTCCTACTTTGTGAGTGCTGGGCCATGTGTCCCTTAGTGATAAACTCTGAGGGCCCTTTGGAAACCAGAGATCCCAATGGTGGTGGCAGGAAGCATGGCACATGGTAGCGCAAAGGGAGGAGGACAGGTATAGACATTGTGGTCCAAATCAGTGCCCCTGGTTCTTTCCATCTCCCAGTCCGGACCCAGAGTACTTCTGGTTGTCTGTTTTTGAGACAGGGTCTCCTTCTGTAGCCCATGCTGACCTCAAACTTGAGGCACTCCTTCTGCCTCGGCCTTCCAAGCTTTTAGATTATAGGTGTGAGTCACCATACTCCACTCCTGGACAGCTTTCTATTTCTTTCATATAACATTATGGGTCTATAGGTGCAGTGTGTACCCCACCTGGAATGTACTGGTTGGCATGATGACCCCCCCTTACTCTAGCCTGTCTCAATGCTGTGTAGAGTAGGGGCATGTCCTCCACCAGCCCAGACTGTTGTGCTTGGTCTTGCTCACCTCAGCCCTGAGAAAGTGAGAGAGAGAGAGAGAGAGAGAGAGAGAGAGAGAGAGAGAGAGATTCCTTGCTTTTATAAGGGTGCAATGAGATGGTGAGATGAGAGGTTTGCTGGGCAGGCTCTGGTACCTAGCCTAGCCATTTCTCCCAGCCTGGATCCACCCAGCTGTGCCACCACCTGAGTGAGTGGGCTCTGTTACTGCTGATGGCTGGACCCCCCTCCCCATCATGTTCCATGATCATGATCTGACTGCAAGGCCTCCTGTGCCTCCTCCCACTCTGCTTGCCTTGTATGTCTGGAGGGCACAGTGCTGTGGGCTTCCTTCCTTGTCTAACAAACCATGGGGATTAAGGGGAAGGTAAACATAAGGATTTTATCAATCTTCTTTTACTGTCTATTCATCCTGAGACTCAGGCACAGGCTTGAGAGGGGCTGGTACAGAGGAGCAGGTCATGATGACCTGGTCCCAGCCAGAACCACGCCCCCACCCACCAGCTCTGCACAGTCTGAGCCAGCCCAAGGGCCCTTATCTCCTGACACCAGTCCGGCACCTGTGCCCAGGAGAAGCACTGGCCCAATATTTACTCTCTTATTTTCTCCCCCAGATAATCTCCTACTCCAACTTTAAGAAATAAATGGAATGCTTTTTAATACATAACTTATACCTTATAGGCTAACGTGGTTGTGAACAAGAGCAAATCTTATTAAAGTTGCTAAGAGGTAAAATAACTCAATTTGATAAAACTTAATAGGTGTGTGCTTAATTTACACACACACCCTCTCCAGGGCTCTGTGCATGGTTTCTCATGTGTGCTGGGGAGACTGAACCTCACTTGCCGCACTCAGCTCCTCCTCACTGTGAGCAGGAACGACCTGTCCCAAGCAAGGTCCCTTTGCCTATGTCATTTAGAAGCCTGTTAGCTCTAACTGGAAAAGCTAGTAAAGGTAATTCTAGAACATGATTTTTACAAAATCCTCACTTCATGCTGTACAAAGTGCAAGCCTATGAATGGTTTGAAAACACCAAAGGAAAACATTTGTAGTAACATCTAGAATAACAGGAACTGTTCCCCACAGTGTGCCTGCAGGCCTGTGAGTCTCTTCTTTATTCTGTGCACTGAATATTCTTTATATTAATATTTTATTTTAATATTCTCATGGTAATGTTGTGAGAGTGTGTGATACCCCAAGTGTTTTCTCCATGCCACCCCTCTGCAGATGAAGTGATGGGCTGGCAAGACTTTCATTCTCAGTGTCTCTGGGACTTCGAGGCTGGAAGCCTAGATCATGGTTCTCAGTGGCCAAGGGCTTGGAGCCTGAGCAAATCCACTGCCACGTGGAAGAGAAGGCCTTGTCAAGGAGTAGCAGACAGTTCAGGAGCTGAGGAAAGGCTCAAATGTGGGTTTCAGCATGCATGGCAGGATCACTGTCGGGAGTCTCAGAGACCTGTTTTAGCCAGGCGTGGCGAGTCAGGCCTGGAATCCCAGCACTTGGGGCCTGAGGCTGAACAAATACTGCTTGAGTTCAAAGCCAGCCTGGGATAATGGTGAAACAGTGTCTCTAAAAAGGTAAAGACAACAAAACAAGAAGTTAATGAAAAGGAAAAGGTACATTTCGTTATAAAAATGTGTGTATCCAATAGATTTATTTCCAGTAAGACTGGCCTGTGTTTGCTGATACATGGGCCTGTGAACAAGAAGTGGCTGTGTCATTTTAGCAAACAGGACCCAAAACCAAAGATTTATGAGCTTCCCTGCCCTCTACAAGAGCAACTTTCCTATGTATCATTAGTCACTTTATCATGAGTAGCATGTTGGGTCGTCTTGGCCGCTTATTAATCACCCTTCTTTCCAGAGAACTGTGAGAATAATTAGATGAAGCTGGTGGCTCCCGCCATGGCCACATTCATCTTCTTAAGCTGGTGTCAGTGAAACATTCCATCATGAACATCCTCCCCAAGAGTGCTCTGCAGCCCAGGTTTCTGGAGTTAGAGGGTTGTGTCATCAGTATTAGGGAAACCACACAGCTTGTCTTGTTTCAAAGAGAGACAGAGACTGTACAATACAACCTGTTTGGAGTCCAATGGCTCTCTGCAGTGGGAGGGGTGGTCTTCTCAGAGAAATTTCAAGGACCACTGCCCTCTGGTGTTCTGTAAGCTTGGGAAATCATATGTCCATCCAAGAGCTCCTGGCCTTGCTGCCCATATTGATTCTAAGCTATTGGAGGTCAGAGGCAGATGGAAGGGAAAGCTGATGGCATCCTCACTGACCCTTAAAGCTTTTGCTCAACTGAGGATTATTGGCCAGGGCAAATGCCACTGTCATGTCCAGTTATGAGCAACTAAGGAAACACTAGCCTGCTGTCCCTGGGAGAGAGACGTGGGAGGTTTGTGTGGACTCACAGTGACTCAGAGACATAATTGGAGGGTGGACAGGGAGATAGGCCATCAAAATGGAAAGTTCAGGGGGTATTGCAGACAAAGCTTTGGTGAATCTGGTCAACCAGAGAACGGATGATGTAAAAGGACAATGTAAATAGCGTTCAAAGAAGATTCCAGAAGGTTTAAGAGAATTCTGTGTGTGACTTGATTGCAATATGTTTGAGAACTTGAATATTGTAGATGATTTTCTAGGAAAATGCAAATAGCCAATACTAGGTCAAGGTATAGATGTCTGAGTAGAAGATTTAAAGAAAAAGAAAATTTAAACAAATGTTGGCAAAAGTACCTCAAGCCTAGTTGGGGCTGCAGGTGAGTTCTACCAGATCTCCTGGAGCACAGTAAATAGTAACACAGTAAATACCTATGGAAAAAGTAGGTGAACCTGGCAGGCAGGAAATTGCTATTAAAATCAAACAATCATGTCACTCACTGGCCATTACCACTTATGGGACATAGACAATGGCACCCAAAGATCCAGCAAACAGAAACTCCTGCAGGGCTCGGCTCACAGGGCACCTCGTCTGCAGCCTCCTCCTACCCCATCCCCAGATCGTGTTCTTTGCTCTCACCTTCTCACACATCATATTCTTTACTGTGTTCCTCATTTGTATTTCTACGTATATATTATGAGACATAGTGATGTACTTAAAAAAGAAATGATCTCTCCCTAGAAGTCTTTCCTCACAGAGGAAAAGAGTCTTTGCTCCTGAGAAGTGAGGACCCCAGAATGACTATTTCCTCATGCTGTGAGGACCAGAGTTTCTCTTTTGTGTGACAGTCAGTGTTGAGGAGCAAGTCCATCCTGGGATCCCACATGCAGTGCATCACACTCCAGCAGGGACAGGACAGGTCACGCCCAGCCTGACCATAGCCCCCCCACACACACAGAGCTTGAGTATCAGGTGTCAGGATGCAGATCTGCTCTGTTTGAGTTGTCTTCTTTCATGATCCCAAGCTCACTGTCATACATGGTGTCTTAAGCCCCATACCCTTGACATCTGGTCCCTATGATAGTAACCCTCCTGAAACACAGAGGCCCAATGACTGCCTATCAGCTCTTGAGGAGGGACCTCAGGCCTTGGGGTCTCCTGAGATTTGGGGGAAAGGACCCAACCTCAGGACCTGCTTCATGACAGTGCTGACAGGATCCTTTAACCTAGTGTGGAGAATGAAGGGAGGGAGCTTATATGACTTGATGATGATGTAGTTGTATTTTTGTATGATTTATGATGGTAATTATGGTCTGTTGCAGGAGCATCAGGAGAGCATTCTGGGTAATACCATGCAAAGTGTGATTGCGCTACTGAACAATCTGGTCGCCTGCAAAGATTCAAACATTAAACAGCTCTATGAGCAAGGTGAGTATTTCTTGGGAAGAGTCTCTGATTCTCTGAGTATTGCCCATTTGTGCACATCCTACTTCCTTGAGTAGGAAGTTTTACACAAAGCCAGAAGTCAATATGTAAGGATCCATACAGGATGATGTGGCCAGCAGGACAGAAAGGACAGTTTCTCTGGAGTCATTCATTTTTCCTGGATTGTACAGTCAGTCACTGTGCACCTTTTTGTTGTTCTTTTTACAAGACCCCATCTTATATAGCCTAGGCTGGACTTGAACTTACTGTGTAACTGAGGATAACCTTGACCCTGTGGCTCTGCCTCCACATCTCAAATGCTGAGCTCACAGGCCTGTGTCCACAGATCTGGCTTTTTGATTTGGGGGATTTTCGCTGTTGTTGTTTTGTTTAGTTTGAGGCAGAGCCTTTCTGTATAGCCCAGGTAGGCCTTGCACGTCTGCTTCTTCCTCTTCTTCAGCTTCCAAAGTACTCAGGTTGTACGTGTGCTCTATCACATCCAGCTACTCCAGGCTCTTCTTAAAGATGACAAACCAAGAAATAGAAATGTAAGCCTAGTGTTTAGACTTGCTGCTGCCATGTGGTGGAGCTGGAGAGATGGCTCAGCAGTTAAAAACACTGACTGCTCCTGCAGAAGGCCTGGGTTTAGTTCCCAGCATCCACATGGCAGTTCACAAGTGTCTGTAACTCCAGTACTAGGGGACCCATTGCCCTCTTCTGGCCTTCACAGGCACTGCATACATACAGTACACACACACACACACACACACACACACACACACACACGCATATATGCAGGGAAAACATTCATACACATAAAAAATGATGTGATCAAATGCATGACAAAAAATAAAGCTGGCTGGGTTGAGAGTGACTTTACATCTTATTTATTGCAGTTTCTAATGTCACATGCTATTCTGCTTTTGTATTAATAAAGGGTTTTTTATTAGACTTGTTCGCAAAGGTAAGTCTTAGATCAATATCTGTCACTGAATGAGATTATAAAGTAGTCATTCTGATATTCCCCTCCCTGTTTCTATGTGGGTATTATACTCAAGGGTTGCTATTATTTTTTCCAATCCTAAGGAAAATATGCAGTGACATCTAAAAAGAAATTTTATCAGGGGCTAGAGAAATGGCTCAGCAGTTAAGAGTATTGACTGCTCTTGCAGAGGGCCTGAGTTTGATTCCTAGTACCCACATGGTGGCTAACAACAGTTTGTAACTCCAGTTGACACCCTCTTCTGACCTCCATGAGCATACATACATGCAATACACCCATACACATAAAATAAAAAGTAAAAATAAATAAGATATTTCATTTATTATTTTTAAATATTTTATTTGTTATTTTTATTTTATATGTATGAGTGTATTGCCTGCATGTATGTGAGTGCACCCATGTCATGCAATGCTGTGGAGGTCAGAAGAGGGCTTCAGATTCCCCTGGAACTGAAGTTAAGGACAGTTTGTAGCTGCCATGTGAGTGCTGGGAATTGAACCCGGGTCCTCTGCAAAAGCAGTCAGTGCTCTTAACCACTGAACAATCTCTCCAGCCCCTAATTTATTATCTTTATTTTACATGTGTGAGTTTATTTCCTGCATGTATGTAAGTGCATCCATGTTGTGCAATGCCGGAGGAAGACAGAAGAGGGTGTCAGATTCCCTGCAACTGGAGTTACAGATGGTTGTTAGCCGCCATGTGGATGCTGGGATTCAAACCCAGGTCCTTTGCAAGAACAGCCAGTGCTCTTAACCACTGAGCCACCTCTTCAGCCCCATAAATAAAATATTTTTGGTTGTTCTTGCAGAAGACCCGGGTTCGAATCCCAGTACCCACATGGCAGCTAACAACTGTCCATAACTCCAGTCCCAGGGGATCCGACAGCCTCTTCTGACTTCCATGGGCATTGCACTACACGGGTGCACTTACCTACATGCAGGCAATGCACGAATATACATAAAGTAATAAATAAAATATTTTAAAAAGAGAGAGATAGTATAGGTTGTAGGCTTGGGCACATAGCTGTGTTGATTTTTTTTCCCAGCACCATCTTACTCTCTTTGTGGGCACAGCTTCATTTGTTAAACCAGTGCTCTCCAGTCGGTGTGGGCTATCCTTAGTCCCTTGCCATTGCAGACATTTCTCACCCTCACTCTTTCATACAAGAGCAGAGTGTTCTGTAAACCCTGAGATCAAAGAATATAAGCACATTTTATAGACATTGGCAAAGCATTCTGCATGGGCATGGCGTGTAAGTGAGAGAGCTTGTCTTGGAGTCACACGCATGCTGCATTTCCCCTTTGGTTGACATTTTTGTGCGTGTTCTTCAGCAGCGTTTTGTAGTTTTCACTATTTACGCCTTAACGTGCTCCCTACTGCTTATCTGTTCCTAGATATTTTATCATTTTCCTCTTGTTATTAGAAATGAGGAATCATCTGCTACCTTCCAGTGTGAAAAATATCTGGAACCTTTCATGTCTGTATATTGAATTTTGTGCCTAATTTCAAATTTTTTGGTCATGAATGTTTTCTAGCTATTTGTTCATAACAATCCTAAGTAGTGACTGTCTATTTTCCTCCCAAAATTTATGACTCTTCCTCTCACCTAACTGCAAGATATAGTGAGAACAGAGGAGCATCTATATGTGTATGTGTGTATGTGTGGTGTGGGTGTGTACGTGTCTGTGTATGTGTATGGGGGGTATATGTGTGTGGTGTGTGTGTGTGTGTGTGTGTGTGTATGTGTGTTTCTTCAGAATATTTTTTTTCTGGTTTAAGAAGGCTCATCTATTTTATCTGTTTTCTTTAATCAGGAATAAACAACGACTTATGTCAAATGCTCTTTGGACTTACTTGGAAATGATCAAATGACATTTCCCTGAATCTGTTCACATAATGAATCATATTTAACATATTATCTAGCAGTGAACACATCTCAGTATTTAGGTTGTTCCCACAATTAGCTGTGATCTGTTCTTCATATCTGGTACTTAAGTACTTTACACATACTAAGTATTTCCCATTGTGTTCATAAATGTGATTGGTCTGTAGCTTTATTTATTTTTATCTATCTGTCTATCTATCTATCTATCATCTATCTATCTATCTATCTATCTATCTATCTATCTATCTATATCTACCTATCTATCATCTATTTAATGTGTGTGTCTGTTTTGTTTGTTATATGTAAGTACAGACAGTATGTGTGTGAAATGCTTACAGAGGCCAAAAGAGAGCATCAGATCCCCTGGAACTGAAGTTATAGGTGGCTGTGGGTGCTGGGAACTGAACCTGGGTCCTCTTTAACAGCAGCTAGTGTTCTTAACCACAGAGCCATCTCTGTAGCCCCTATACCTTTATTTCTGATTGAGAGAATATATTCTTTTCCATATTTTGTCATAATGATGTCCAACTTTTTTTTTCTTGTAAAACAAGGTTGATCCTTGTCCTCTTACACCTCCGAAGCAGTTCTAGTATTAAAGGTCCTTCTTTCTGTGTTTATAATTGCAGTCTGAGGGTGTGGAGGGACAACAGCTTGGTCCTTAGCTCAGGTCCTCAAGACTGACTGGAGCTGCACCTGAGCAAGTGCACACAGGGAGCCTAACGCTCATCTAGACCTAAGGATTAGATGACAAGAGCCTTTTCAGAGCCCTGAACTAATCCTGAATAAGATGAGGTTTGGAGGAACCAGGACAACGTGATGCTACTATGTGTGTGTGAAACCAGACTTTTAGGGGCTGGAGAACACAGTGTAGTACCTGTTGTTGGATCATGTCCCGGGGTTGTTTCCTGGCAGTTAGTGGACCATGCTTGAATTCACACTTATGTTCCTACCCTTTTAGATCTTTTTTAATCACTAAGAAATCTCTTTGTTACAGATCTGTTCATGTTTTCTGTTTCTCTTTGAGTCAGTCTTAGTGCTTCATCTTTCTAGCAATTTCATCTGTGTTGACTAACTTATTGGCAGGCAGTGGTTCATGTGCTCTTATAATCTTTTTTATTTCATAAGGTCGGAAGTGATGGCCTATCTGCAAAGCTGACTCAGTCTGCTATGAGCCCATTAGCTAGTTTCCCATCTCTGTTATCCTGCTATTCAGCATTAGAATTTCCATTTCATTCTCTGTAGCTTCTCCTTTTTGGTATTCTCTGTCTGGTGAGACACCGTGTCCTTACCTTGTTGAGACATGATCTCCTTAGTCCTGTGTAGAGAACTGACTTAGAATCTTAAGTCCAACACTGGTCCTTGGAAATAATTCCTGCTGTCCATCTTTTTCCTGTGTATAGACTGGTCTTCCTGGGTGTTATATGAGGTGCTTTGTGGTTTTTTATTTTGTTTTATTTGGTTTTTGAGACAGGGTGTCCCTCTGGCTCCAGCTGACCTGGAACTGGGTACACAGATGAAGCTGGCTTGGATCTCACAGAGATCCACCTGCCTCTGCCTCCTGACTGCCGGTATTGAAGGTGTGCACCACCATGCCAGCTGCTTTGTGATTTTTGTTGTTGTTATTGGAAAGTAGACATTTTAGATGATGCCACATATCAGCTCAGAGTGCTGATCCTCTGTCAGTCCTGTAGTCTGCCTCCACTGTGGTGTCTGCATGCAGGAGCTTCTGTTCAAGTGCACAGCTATCTGGCCAGCTAGCAACTGCAGAGTTCCTTAAGTCAATGTATTTGACCCTTTGCTAAAGGTTGAGGCATTTCAACATTCAGGAAGTTTGCTTCTCTGAGCAGAGGTTTAACATCTGCTAGAGGAGAGAGTCTAGGCCTTTTAGGTCTTTGCTTGTTAAGTGCATAGCCCTACGCATGGTATTATGGTTTGAATGTAAAATGTACCTATAGGCTCATGTGTTTAAACACTTGTGGTACTGTTTGGGAAGGTTATGGGACCTTTAAGAAGGTTGTGGAACCTTTAGGAAGTAAACTCATTGCCAGTAATTACTTGTTACAAATGCCATGGGCATGGGCCTTTTCCTATCAGATGAGCTGCAAGTCCCTTCAT